CAATTTTTTTATCTACCAGATTAATACCAGCTGCTGAGTATCACCACCGTACCACCCGCCAGAAACTAAAATACCATCCTGATCATCTGGATGAATGGCGGTCCTCCACATTGAGGTTTTCTAGACTAACTAACTTTTTGCCCCGCACAACCACATTGTGAAATCACCTTTCAGCAATGATATTTCCGAACCGATACGATATTGAAACCTTCAAGAAAAGAGCTTATTCCTTTTTAAAAGGCCGACAACGTACTTGCAATTTCCCTGGTGTTGCGGGTGCTCATGGGCGGCGGTAATCACTTACCATCAGGTGAGCCGCATGCTCGTTTGTCCCCTGTGTTATAAAAAAAAACCCAACATATTTTTACCATTATCAATTTTTTTTTCTGAATAATCTAATGCTGTTGGCTGTCTCTACAGCTTCACTGGACGATAGGGCGAGTGCAGATGGTGCTCCAAATCCGCGGAAGTACTTATGAAGCTACCTGCCTACGCCTGACATATATATCTTAAATATATTTTTTCATAAAATTAAGGTAAAATCTACATCTGGCATCCCTACTACTTCATTATCCAGAGCCGTAAAATATTAAACAAAAAAAAATTCTACCTTCCGAATGTAAGGTGTTTAACGTAATAACCATACAGCAATTATCACAATGTTTCAAAGAATTGACATTACCCTTATGTGATTTTATCAAAAATTGAATCATTTAAGTAACATATATTTATTTTTTATTTATTAAAACTTTAATGCACAAATACATATATATATACACATGGCGGAGTTGAATGGATTTTGAAGCGGTTTTTTTTAATAGATAGAGTGATTCTAGAGGAAGGTTTATATGTATGATACATGTACACCCGTGTGAAGCTAGCCGGGGCGAGTAGCTAGTATCTAATACGTGTACTAAAATATAACCCAGATCGATATAATCATACTAACAGATACAAATGCTTGTACCTTGCAAGGAATCGAATCCGCGACCATCGAAAGTAAGGTGCTATAAATAAAACGTCATTTTTTTTTAAATAATAATCTGAGGTCAATTTATAGAGCGCCATCTAGACCCAAGTTAAGCTAGCTAAAGCTTGTATTATAGGTACTAGACAACTGATACAAATACATAGATATATATTTTTTAATAAATATATACATACTATACAAAACACCCAGACCGATACAAACAATCATACTCATGAATACAAATGTTTGTGCCGTGCGAGGAATCGAACCCGCGACCATCGGTCGTAAAACAGTGTGCTAGGCCGCTAGACCACCGAGGTCGTCATTACGTATTATATTTTTGTATGTTAAATAATTATTTTTAATATATAAATACATATATATATAGTATGTCAAAAAGAATAGAGTCCCTTTTATACATATTTATTGTATTCAAAACTATTTAAGTTTTTTTTTCTCATTTCTTTATGTACAGAACTGCAGATGTACCAAAAATATTTACAGAATGTTGGAGAGATCTGGCTTTCGTGGCACAGGTTCACCTAAATCGGAAGCCAGGTCTAACTATATTTAATTGTACCGTGCATTTATGAATAAAGTTTATTATTATTATTATTATTTTTTTTATTATTTTTTTTTTTAAGAATACGATTAGAAATCATTTATTCAAATAAACTTACATTGAAGCACTTTTGAATAGTCATTATATTTTTTTTAATCCACCGCTATTATTATATATAGGGCATAATGGCACCTGCAAATATACATATATATATATACTCAGCTAATATGTGGGTGTAGTATTTCTACGTTGTGGGTTGAGCGCATTTCCATTGTTCATTGTCCCAGCGAGATTAATTCGTATTATTATTTTTTCTCTAAATTTATCTCATGTCCTATCAGGTATATAATTATGATTAAGCTAATGTTAAAAGATACATCGTGGGATAGTGGTTTACTATGACCTAACTAAGAGGTCGTGAGTTCAAATCTAGATGATTAATTATGTTATTTTAAGGTTGTATGTATTTTTAATGCCATATTATAAAAAATAAAAAAACCGTAACATTTTTTTGGACTTAAATTTATCCTTATCACTTAGGGGTATGAAAAATAGATAGTAGCCTATTTTCAGACCTGCTGAATATTAAAAAAAATTGGGTAACACGTTTGGGAGGAGTATGTTAACTAACATTGTGATACGAGAATTTTATATATAAAATTAAGCTATAGTGATACTAGCAGACGACGAGGTGCGGCGCTATAATAGGCCATTTCTAAGTAGCCATGCATTTTTTTTTTAATTAAAAATTACATCAATTGAGCTTCTTTTTAAAGTCGTCTAAAAATGTCGTGCGACAATGGACATTTTTTTGTATTTAAAAATTACGTACATTGAACTCCTTTTTGAAGTCGTCTATAAAATGCCGTGCGACAATGGACATGTTTGTATTTAAAAATTACGTACATTTAACTCCTTTTTGAAGTCGTCTATAAAATGCCGTGCGACAATGGACATTTTTTGTATTTAAAAATTACGTACATTTAACTCCTTTTTTAAGTCGTCTATAAAATGCCGTGTGACAATGGACATTCTTTTTTAATTTAAAAATTACGTACATTTAACACCTTTTTGAAGTCGTCTATAAAATGCCGTGCGACAATGGACATGTTTGTATTTAAAAATTACGTACATTTAACTCCTTTTTGAAGTCGTCTATAAAATGCCGTGCGACAATGGACATTCTTTTTTAATTTAAAAATTACATACATTTAACTCCTTTTTGAAGTCGTCTATAAAATGCCGTGCGACAATGGACATTTTTTTTAAATTTAAAAATTACGTACATTGAACTCCTTTTTGAAGTCGTCTATAAAATGCCGTGCGACAATGGACATTCTTTTTTAATTTAAAAATTAAGTACATTTAACTCCTTTTTGAAGTCATCTATAAAATGCCGTGTGACAAATGACAATGGACATTTTTTTTAATTTAAAAATTACGTACATTTAACTCCTTTTTGAAGTCGTCTATAAAATGCCGTGCGACAATGGACACCCATCAAGCTCACCTAGCTCATAGTATTAAACGGTCAATATGCATCCACTACCACCTATGCACGTGTATCGACACAAACACCATGTATGTATGTGTGAGTATTAGTTTTGTATGTGTGCGAGAGTGTTGTCTGACGGTCGCGTCACAGAAGAATGTATGTGATATTTTTTTATTAATTTATTTGGTTTTTTTTTCTAGAAATATAAGATTAAGAATGAATGTGATAATTTTTTATTACATTATCTTTTTTTTCTAGAAATATAAAATTTTGTTGTAATTTTATTTTTAAAAATATTGTAGTTTAAATAGTGGGGTATTTTTAATATTTTCCTTTTAACTATTTAGTAGTAACATTATTCTAACAAAAGTGGAAAATAGAGAAAACATGTTTATTCGTTACACGAAGCAATTATAGAACCTACTATTACTTTGAATAGATAGTCTTCAATTTGATTACAAGGCATATCATACATATTGTATACATAATTACATATACATTTTGACTATAATATGGGATATCTTTACTATACCATCCAGATTTAACTTAGATTTTAAGTACGTATAGATAATTTAGAACTTTATTTATTATATATATGTACGATACTAAGAGGTTCAATTTCAGACTAAAATCTTAATAGTAATAATATAATAAGTACTAAAGTAAGTTAATCTATTACGAAAAAAAAATTACTTGCAATAGTGACTAAAATGTCAATATTGACAGCTTTGTGTTATGTCAGTACCTGAGGTCAGTTTCATTAATGACAATAATTATTTTACTAATATATTAATTTGCACAATAATATTTTTACCTAGTTCCAAACTAAGTAAGATTCTAAACAACGGTTGAACACACTTAAATAAAATTATAATTGGAAATGCATAAATAATATACATAGAAAAACACTCAGACAAATAGAAACATTCATACTCATGAATATAAATGTTTGCATATTACGGTGATCGAACCCGCGACCATCGAACGGTGAGTATGCTAAACCGCTATACGATAACACGATCGAGTTCTTCGTTGCAATTTAATTTCCATAATATTGTTATGAACAAATTATTTCATGCATAAAAGTTGCAAATTTATTAGCATTTTAAAAAAAGAAACTTCTCATAAAAAAAAATACTAGAAACATCGCAAATTAGTTAATAATTTTAAAAAAAGAAACACCTCAGAAAAGAAATAGTAGAAATCTTTACTTTTTACTCACTTCAATAATCTGTTAAATTTTGCCTACCCTCTAAAGAAAGTTATATAATTCTATATAATAAATAAATACTAAACTTCGTAAACCTAATGGTTCATTTTATTAAGAGTATTATAATTAATACAGACGCTTTTAAATTATATATATCTACCATATTTGAGACACCAATACAAAACAAAAGTTACAGACAAACGACCTTCATGGTATATTAACAGCAGATGACACGGTACATGATATTTGTCCTTGTTCATATTACTTAAGTATAGTAAAAAAAATATAAATGTATAGACTATACTAGTCCATTGTATAGAGTACTAAATTATAGCGTACTCTGTATATTACTAATCTGTGGTAGTACATTATTTATAGACTATCAAATAGTACAATACAATTTAAATAATGATTATGTTTAATAATGAAATAGATATTTTGTACATTTATGTATAATATAGATATAGTATATAAATAATATTGTTTCTTATTAATTTCTTAAAAATCTGACACACAAAGTAAGAAATTATGTACGAAGAATGAACAGTTTTCTAAATTCCATTAATATTCTTACACGCAAAATAGTGACTGCAATAAGAACTAAAATTGTATTATCACGTTTTTTATACAGTGCATAGTGTATGTATGTAATTAATTGTCTGTTGCATGATACAATCTTACTCAAATGGAGCGTAGAATGCGGCAGCCAGCCTATACTGGGTTTGTATTACAGTGGAACTGGCACTCAACATAGACAGACGGTTGCTCTTTCATTAGGCTGTACGCCACGCGACGTTTGCCTACAAAATTGCGGTACGAAAAACTTAATTTAAAAACGTCACTGTCAAACATTTAGGCGCGAATTTGCTACGTCAAATTCCACAGATTTATAGATACGGGGCGGGAATGGCCAGATGTTGGTTATATGTTTTTAATTATAACATGTCTAGACAATATTAGACCATTAATCAGGCAAATTAAGTTGGTATCATGTTAGGTGTGCGTTGTGTCGGTTATTGTGTGTGTGTGCAGTCATCAGCTTATTGTTGTAATCGAATTAGCCGTAATTAAATTAGTACGGCGAGCGCCGTGGTAGATCTCGTCCGTATAAACAAATAGGTTATTATTGAGGACATTATGATATTGGCCTTCTGTTTTCTTTGTTTCAGTTTCGTTTTGTTTTGACTGTGTGAATAGTGCAATCATTAAATCAGTGTTTTGAATTTGTGATTTATCAAGTAAAACAACTTATTGAGTTGATTAGTCCAGATTGAAGTAAGAATTAATTTTAATGAATTTTGTAACAGTAGTAATATTTTTTTCGTATGTGGCAAAGCAAAGATCCAATACCATACAGCCCAAATCTTCTATAATATTTTAGACACTTCGTTAAAGCGCAGTTCGTATATCTTTTAATTAATTTATAGTTTAAATGTATGTCAGGTTTATTTGTGTATATAATATTTATTACTCTTTCAAACATTAGTTCCTCTATTATGTTAAAAACTTTATCTATTTTTTGTCTATAAATTAAAGAAGTATATACAGATTATAATCAATATTGAATTGAATATGTATGTTCAATTACATGAAATGCGTAGAAGCTTATATTATTTAAATCGGGATGTGTTCCACTTTATAATTAAAATTTCTTATTTATGATATGATTGTGAACAATTTTTTTATTGTAATTCATTTGAAATATACGTTCATACAGAGAATTGTAATATTTTTATCTATTTGTATGACTGGATTACCGTAATTACTAATAATATAATTAGAAGATATCCAAGGGATACTTTTCTGATTAACATCATATTACGTACATTTTTTTATAAAAAAAAATATGAGGTACAGATTTAAATAGCTAGCTATTATCCGCGATTTCATCTGCTTATTGAGATAGAAGATAATGTATGTTTGTATTTGTAATACAAACTTTCTTCTCGTGAAATATCATTGAAATAGTCGTATTTATAATATTAATATAAATAAAACGGTTTATATACTAGATAGAATCGGTGAGTTTTGGATCTGATATAAATATATCTATTTAGTTACATTGATAAACTGGAATCGACCCCGCTGCCCGTTCACTTTATCAATTATCCTCTTTGAAACCAAGGATGCCAACAATATGAAATTTTACTTCCGTCGGTATAAGGACTTTTTAACCTTGTACAGTTATATATGAGAATTTGACCTTATTTTCTTACAAATTTTGACCGCAATTTCACTTTATGTTAAGTGATGATACGGATTAAGCTGCAAGCTCAAATAGTGCCAATTCAGTTTTGACTTGAAACACCCAATATTATAAGAGGCAGGAAACAGTGCCACTGGGCAATAGTTCCACTCCTTAGCTCGAATAAGGAAAGAAGACGCAAATCGGTTGGTACGAACAGCAAGGATCTCAACATTGTATGGAGCCGCTCTTTTCTTGACGATGACGTCTTGTTATACGGTGCTGGAAAGGTCCTGGCCTTAAGCCTATAAGGCTATGGAGTTCCTGAGCACATTCACCGAAATGCACCATATAGAACACCGATAAACAAGCTACTTTACGTCGGTAGCTAAGACTTCGAAGCCTTTTAGCCTCAAATGATTCGTCCCTAATAAGTCTCCCAGTTCGTCTGTCGATTGAAAATGGATCCAAACACTATGATGTACGAGGATAGAGTTAATCGAGCTTATATACCAGATTTAGTCGCAGTGTTTATATTTTCGTTTAAGTCTAAGTGTTTTATAGTTGACAACCCTCTTAGGAGCTTATAACTTCTGTCGCCTTGAAGCAGATGTGACGGGGGACGGGACAAACTCCCAATTTGTTAATGTCAACTTCTTAAGGCTGCATCTCCTTGATTCCTCTCCTTACTAAACGTTCTCTGAATTTTTTTGTACAGAAACTAATTAAACTCGAAGAAATTTTGTCAATAGGATTTGATAACTTATATAGCGTTCCACATTAGTTAGATTTTCTTTAAACAACTTTTGTTTTAGTGAATTTATACGCAACTAACAAACGGATTTTCACTAAAAGAAGGACCTATCTTTAGCTCATTCGTATAAACAATCCAAGACTGTATAAATATTTGAAAACTGTACAAGACATTGTTATTATAATGAATTTTCAGAATAATGAAAAAAATCCCTTTAAATTTACTGTAGCAATACAGTAAGCTGAGTAGAGCAGAATGTAAATATCTACAGCAAAATTTCAATTGAAAGTATTGCTGTCCCGCTTAGGTGTAGGGAGACGCAAGGTCTTCGAATAGAGATAGAACGAATACTGAAGAATACTACATTATAGTTAATAATAATAATAATAATAATACATACCTACACACGCAAACGCGCATACACACACACACACACTGCACTTACTAGGTTTTGGCCCGTAAGTGATGTATAAACAAAACATACCAATAATAATAATAAATTTATTTGTAATAGATTTTGGGCACATACATATATGATGTTATACAAAATTTTTCATTGCGTGTTTCATTGCGTTGACACACTCCTCTTAAGCAATTTACTAGTATTTTTTATTATATTATTATTTAAACGTCTCATTAATAGGAATTAATAGAGAAGGCCCGTAAAGGGAGACCTAAATGGATACTTCACTTTCACATATTTCTGTCATCAAGAAGAAGGTAAACTGTGTTTATATTTAAAGGGACATGGCAGGGATATATATCTCTGATCGATCCCTCGTCCAATTAAACCTGGAAATTAAATTATGGCCTGAGCCGAGGTTTGAAACCTTAACGGTGCCCTCATACTAAAGTCGTACCTATCAGGCCGGAGTTGGCCTTCAGCCGATCCATAAGTCCTTCCGCGGTTTAAAATGCCATCTGCAACTCGCTCCCTATTGTTTGGTGAAGCTATAGAATTGAATACAGAGCCTTTACAGAATAGTTCGAAAAAGAAATGATAATGAGGTACGTAATTAGTTTCCGGGAATAACGACGCATAAATAGTACCACAAGGTTTTCATAGTGGTACCACTTCTTCATGTTATATGCCGTAGCTGGGCGATTAACTCGTTTGCCATTTCAATTATATAAAAAAAAAGAAAAAAGACGCTTGGACATATTATTTAATTTTGAGGACTATTAGAAACATTTTCAAGAATTCTGTTGGATTTTCTTTCGTAATAATCTTTCGGTAGGTTAAGTAAGAGTCACTACATAACTCTTACCAATACAGCTGTTATAATCATTGATGAATAATACAATCTAGAATAGATTATGATCTAATGCATAACAGAATGTAATTTCTTCTCTGCTAATATTATATTAAATATGTATGTATAAATATTAAATATTGATAAAAATTAAATAAAATTGTTTAATTGCTATTCTCTTTTAATCTACAATGCAATTAAAAGCATATTCTGTCTATCTATTTTAATATTCATAATAATTCTGAAAAACTGTATTAAAGTAAATAAAGAAACATTACACACACGCACAATTGTGTACGTTTAATGTTTCTTATATATATTTAGTGTTTTATAATAGAACCTGGATAACATTCAAACAAAATTGAAAATGTACTATAATATGGTTGATTCAACACATGATCCGCCAGTACTTGAGAAATTGTTTTTGAATTTGGAATTTATGACGAATTAAAGAAAGCTGAATCTAAATAAGAACTCAATCGACCAGTGAGGTGTTATGCGGTCGGTTTGATGCACTAACCGGTTATCTAGTAACATTGTTAATCGAAGTAATGACTATGACGTCATAGGGCTAAATTTAAATGCATATTTAAGATGCTGTAAAACGACTCGTTTACACTTGCACGTCATCGGTGCGCATCAAACGATGTTAAACATAACACGTTGACCGTGGACCGAGGAGTAATGACCGACCGTTCATTCATAGATCAAGGATGACTTCAGTCTGTCTGTCTTAAACAATGACAAACAATAACATGATGATTGTCTAATTGTTTGTCACATGGATTTGTAATAACCTTGAAGTTATTCTACAACCAATTTTATAAACTAATAATATCTCAGGACAATTCACACAGCGCCATCTGGTTCCTATCTAAGCAGATCTTGAGTAAGGAATGGATATAGGATGTGTGAGGAAACGCCACCACATATCCTATGTGGGTGTAGCCCACTCATGCATAAACCAAATATCTCCTTTGGAAAGTTTACACTTTTTCCCGAGGAGATAAAAACCATCGCTCCTAAGAATATCTGTAGTATCTAGTAGCGAACTTTGAAAAGGGCGAGCACAATAGATCTACCTAGGTCGCAGTACCACAGGTCGATGCACCTTACAATAGCCTAAACAAACCAATAAAAAAATGGGTTCAACTGATATAAATATGCAGATATATATATTTTGTAACTACATACATAATTGAATTTGAAATTGAAAACACCCAGATAAACAATCATACTCATTTATACAAAGGTTTGTATTATAAAGGCGAATTAGAATTAAAATGAAGGCAGTGTATTAAACAGCTAGACCATTGGTTTGGCTGGACCGTTAACAATGTTTATTGTCTGTGTGTCTATGTGTAACATTAAGTGAAAATCCCGTGCATGAATAACTTTTGCCATAATTGTTTACTGAGTAAGGCTTTGCTAAGTAAATATTATTTAACAGATGATTTATAAAGGAAAGCCCCGTATATTCTCCGATCCGAGTTTAATACTCGAGAGATAAATTTGAAAATTAAATTTATCTCTCTATATAATACCCAAATGGAGATGGACTGGTCACATAATAAGAGGATATGATGAATGGAGTAAGAAAGTGACAAGATGGTATCCCAAGGAAGGAAGAAGCAAAAGAGGCACAAGATTGGATGATGATATTAGGGAAGTGGCAGGAGTCAGTCAGAACAGAGTGGCTCAAGAAAGAAGAATGGAAACGAGTGGAGGAGGACTTTGCCGATAGGCAAACAGATCTGCAGAAATTAAAAAAAGATCCAAATATTAGAATTTCTATTTTGTTTTTAAGTTTTTAAAGTTTTACGTATGTTTTAAAATAATGTATAGCTTGATCTGAATAAAGGTTATAATAATAAATAATAATAATATGTGTACAATCCAATGTCATTGAATCGGAATTGTTTTCCACAGTACACCGACTGGATCACTTTTCCGTTTATTTACACTTCTCTTAATTTAATTTTAAACTTGTTACAGGGCATCTCATTTTTCTTTTCGAGCAAGAGAAGCGGAGAGCTCGAAAACCAACACAGAAATTAAAAAGCGAGCAATTAACGTAAGTACACTTATCTTGTTTTTAATTTGCTTCGTCAAATTAAGGCACTGTTTGTAACGCTAACTGCGTTTTTAATTATTTTAATGTTATTATTAATTTACCGGAGGGAGGTTTTGTAGTGTAGTGGATTAGTAGTTTTTACTCCAATAGACAAATAAGTTTTGAATTGGAACTGGGCTGATACCGTAAAACTTTATGCTAATTAGTAGATCCTAATTGACCTTCTATTGGACTAGGTGACCCGGTAAATGTTGGGTTGCAATATACATTAGTACCGCTATTAAAGATAGGGGATAATGGCAGAGGGGTGAAAATTTTGGGTTGTATGTATTTTTAAAACCAAATAGTAAAAAATTTTGATGTAAAATTTTGTCAAACAAAAATTTTGGGTGGACCCATTTTAGGTGTCTAAAAAAGTGTTTACGTGGGCAAGTTACGTTTCACTGTTGTCATACATAATATATATTTACAAACGAATATTTTGGTGTCGACCAGATTCAACCTCTCGACCTTAGCAGTCGAGTTGAGTTGTAAACCACTGGTCCACAATGTATAACTTACTTAAAACTCGTCTTAACTTGCCTTGTTTTCTGTCACAACTTCCCTTGGTGTTTGGAGAGTTGTGACAAAGGGAGTAGTTTCGGTTTTCGTAGATTTACTCAGAAATCTTATATCTTTAATTGACTTTGATGACTAATTTTAAAAGAGCAAGGATTGTACTTGAGGCATAGAGTTCATAATCGTGTGTCGGGATTAATTCACCCTTTTCACGTTAGATGGCGCTAGACCACTACTACGTTCTATTTATTCACTTTATGTGTAAATGTAATCTAAAATAAGTTTATTGAACAAACGTCTTAAATACAATTACCCTTCATTCAGTAGTGTTTCAATTTTTTATTCTTAAAACAGTACTTACGTAGATATCATATTAATTTTTATAATATTATAAACGCCAATGTTTGTGGGTATGGATGGATAGATGGTTGAATAATTGTTACTCTTTCAAGTAAAAACTATTGAACTGATTTTGATGAAACTTTAGAGTAATATAGCTTATACATCAGAACAACATATAGGCTATGATATATAAAAGCATATTATACAAATTGAGCGAAATATAATGATAAATGTTGCAGACGCAGTTGCGCTGGCCAGTATACACTTTTATTGAGATTGTCACGACTCTCCTCAGTCTCCCCTAACATGTTCGCCATAACTCACGAAGGCTTTACCCGCGTTTGCACCCCGTTCATGGTAATTTTGTAAAATATAAATATAACAGAAACATGGATGTTGCGCCATCGATTTTAATTAACCAATTAAGCTAAGATGGCAACCCAATTTGGAGCGCAGCAATTTGCTAAATGACTCAATATAAATAGCGATTAATAATAGCCGAGTAATTTCAACCGCTGGAATTAACAAGCGCAAATTCTATCTCTCGACGGCCGACGGTCTAGCGGTTTAGCACTCCAATAATCGCGGGTTCGATGCTACGCACACAAGCTCTGCTTACCTTGGGACTAGATGGCGTTGTGTGAATTGTCCAGTCCTTGGAAACTATTGCGATACTGAATTTGCAATGATTTGATAATTGACCTGACCTCATGCTCATCTTATCACCTATCTACTGGCGCCCCGCCAGCGGTTTACCGTTAGCGCAGGTGGGTGCACCATTCCATTACATCCATTAAACAAAAAAAAATCGTTACTTTCGAAAATTGGTTGATCCCTGATGATGATGTAATGGGTGATGGAATGAATGGACTGTATCCGTGATATAAATCAAACAATGGATACATAATGGTAAATAATTATAATGAAGATACATATACAAACGGTTGTAAGACAGAGGCAATAAAAATATATGACAATTCTATAAAGAAAATACATTCAAAATTGATAGAGAATATATAAAAATGTGTAAAGAATTTGCAACAGTCTCTATATAATAAATTAAGTTCAGTCGTCTGTGTGTCTCGCACTAATATAAAAGCATTAAATGCCACCTAAAGATATAAAACAGGACAGCAACTGTATCTGACGGTACAACTCACCGTCTCCAGTCGGGTAATTCAATTTGTCAGGTCACTGCTGTCCGCAATATACAATTTGAGTTGCTCTAATGATATTAAAATCCTTCTTGACGTCTTAAAAGATTTTTAAATATTTTTTAATAAGTGAAATAGAAATAGAAACTATATTTATTTAATGTAACTGTGCCCGCGACTTCGCTCGCGTGAAATTTATAGCCTATATGTTATTATTATTGTTATTTTTTTATTTTATTTTGGCACATAACAGTCAATACATATACAAGTAATATAATATAACAATATGTTGATAGAAAATCCCAAACAGTGCCGAAACTTAAACTAAACAAATAAGTGTTAGTTATAAATAGTTGTTAGTGTTATTCTGATGTATAAACTATATTACTGTAAAGTTTCATTCGTTCAGTAGTTTTTTGCATGAAAGAGTAATAAATATCCATACTCACAATAGATAATAGAATAGATAATAATAGAAAATCATTTATTCAAATAAACTTAATTTAAGCACTTTTGAATAATCATAACAATTTGTACCACTCGTTCGGAAAGCTGTCTCATCACAAGAAGAACGAGCAAGTAGGACTTGTGTGTTACTCTTTTAAATATTCCTTGTAAGTTTACATTTACAAGTCGAAACGTGTGAATTAAAACTACCAACAAGCACTAATTTTTTGGGTCAAATATAAATATACAATAAGATTAAATCAGTCGTAGTAATAAGAGCAGACCAGTCCCTACAAGCAGCACTCGTTCACGAGTATGACGGATGAGCCAGCCATCTCTGACCATATTTTAGGGAGCCCAATGACCCGGCCCACCACGCCGCCACATGTCTGGACATTTTAGTGGAATGAGTAGTCATACTCATTCCACACGAGCACGTCACAGTTACAAAAAATACTATATGGTAGTTACATTATTCGCACTTTACATGAGGATGCATTTTACAAACTTTAGCATTTATAATATAAATAAGACACTTATGCATTAAAAAAAAAATCTACGTGTTTGTATCAGTTATCTACTACTCATAACATAAGCTTTAGCTAGCTTAACTTGGGTCTAGATGGCGCTATATGAATTATTCTGACATTATTATTATTTTAAATATGTTTTATATGTCTCCCTTTTTATGTGGGATAATACGTTTAAACACTCGGGCCTTAGCCAAGCGGGGATGACTCTAAAAGTTATATGAGAATGATGCATGAGATGAAGAAAGAAATTTCCTTACAATACGGTATGTGTTGAGAATGACGGCTTTTTGTAATAGTTCTATTGTAGAGGATTTTCTATTATTAAATTAAAAAACCATTTATTCATGTAGGACATTTTAGACGCGTATGTACGTAAAGATTTTACATTAAAATTTTAATTTTTTTCCCTACCGTCCAGTTCGGTATATAAATCCAATTGAGAAGAACTCGCAAAAAAGGCAATTAAATTTCCTTTTTTTTTAAACCAGGTTATTTTACGATGGTTATTTATATAGATGTCTATGTCTAACATTAAATGAAAATCCCGTGCATTGCCAACTATTGCCATGCACGCTCGTCATTATTTCATAATCATAATAATAATAGTAATAAATAATAATAATAATAAATAACAATCCCTAATATAATGCAAGGAATCCAAAGTGTAAATTATTAATTGAACATAATTTTGTGCTATGGACAGCAGAGAACTAATAAATTGGATTATACCATCATCTCTGCAGAGGAATTGTATTATGTCACCCGCTATGGATGCTGTTTAGTTTAATTTAAAGGAGATGGGACGAGATGACTGACATCTTTGTTAGGGTTATATATACTTACTATCTGTACAGCGACTTCGTATGGAATTTAACTTTATATTTCTAAAATAAAGGTAGATTAAGTTACTCCTTATTACATCAGCTACCTGCCAATAAAAGTCCCGTCAAAATTGGTCCAGCCATTACAGAGATTAGCCGGAACAAACAGACAGACAGACAAAAATTGTTAAAAAAATGTTATTTTGGTATATATATTCCTATGCATGTAGTAAAGAACGGTTATTTCAATATTACAATCAGAACCTTCAATTTTATTTATATGTATAAATGTATAGACAGATAACTAACAGCGTATTTTTTTTTTAATTTTGAAATAAATAATTTTTTTTAAAGTAAATAGTCTAAAATACTTATTATAACAGTCTGCGACTGAAAGTTTCGAAGTTCTGTCAAAATCGGTGCAGTCGATCTCTGCAATGCGAATCTTGCAATAGACCTACATGAGTATTGTATATAATTTGAATTTGAATATGAATTTCGTTATAAATTATTGTGTAATAATTATGTAATGTAAATTTTTTGTGTATATATTTTAATGCCACATGCATTAAAAATACATACACAAAAAAATTGCAAACATTACATAATAAATTTTGTTAAAAAAATAAATCTTAGGGGTGGACAACCCTTATCACTTAGAGGTATCAAACATATATAGCAGCCGATTCTTGACCTACTGAATATGCATATAAAATTTCATAAAAATCGGTCTTACCGTTTCGTAGGAGTATGGTAACTAACATTGTGACCCTAGAATTTTATATATAAGATATTATATTATTTGAGAGTATTTTCATCTAATTAACTATACTGAGCGAAATGTGGGTTAACAATGAAGCTGACTACCCCGTCAATGATAACAGCCGTGATGTTATATTTTTATACCGTTATACATAAATCTGTTTTAAAAGTTGTTAATTTTTTGTTGTTGTGTGAAATTCTCAAAGTAGACACGAGAATGTATATAATTATAATAAACTACAATAGGCTATTGAGATATTCCCATAGAAGCGACTATAAACGAGTGGAATGATGGTAAATGATACCATTGTCCGATTAAAGGCGTGATGTTAATTAGGATTACTCTTGTAATAAATAATGAGAAACTTCCAAATTATTAGGAT